ATAAATACATCAAGTCTCAACCTCTCTTGATGATACAACTTGGTCGATTTTTTGTCTTGAAATAGGAAAGAAAAATCAAGCATCATACACATATTGAGAGTTCGGGAGTTTTGTTTAGTCGCACCACCAAGACTATTCGAAGTAGGAGTATAAAGTCATACATTAGAAGATCTTAGGGTCCAATATATTTCAAGCATCCCGACCAATATATAGTCATTGGAAAATTATTCCAGCGAATTTCACAACTCGCGGGACGCCACCGTGAATCAGCCACACGCCACCACACGCGACCTTCGAAGACCTGCTCCTAGCCTCGAGCCAGTCGTGCGAGTCATCCACCGATAACGCACGTTCGCAGGTGCACGAGTCAATCACCGGCGAAACTTGCTCACGCAGCCCAGTAGCGCCAATCTCCGAGCGACGCCCAGTCCACGACCGAGCAACGCCGCGCGCGATCAGGCGATCTCGAGAATCCCGGGAACGCCGCACCCCTTCAGCTTCCAGGTGAACCTATGTCCTCAGACACAGGCAGCGCGCGCTAGCCCGCATTCGCGCACGTCTGCACGCAGATACCCGACGCGGGACCTGCACGCCAGCGTCAGATGCCAGCGAGTCTTGCAGCGCCCGACGTGCACGCCAGCGAACCCACAAAGCCCGACGCGCACGTACCAGGACAGCGCCCGACGCGCATCGATCCCCGTTGACCCGATTGCAACCCGACCACTTCTCAGTGATCCATGATCAACCATGGAGGCCAATTCTGGTTGTCCAACAGACTCTGCGGTTCAGACGATCTCCTACAGAGGAAATATACAACGTCTCAGAAACGACTAAATTTTAAACGGTAAAGTCCTAATCCTAACTATAGATTCTGTTGTATTAGGATTTAATTCATTAGATTCGGATGTGCATGTTGATGACTTTCCTAACAAGAACTGGTATCAGATCCCAGACTTAATTCATCTTTGTGCACAATTCGAATTATGACTTACCTGCATATGTGAATTATTGGTGTACGGGCGCAGCGCATAGTAGATTAGAATTGCAAAAAGGTTGTTTGCAAGTGATTTCAAATCCGACTATTGTGTCCCAAATGTATGTCTTTTAATTAATGTAAGTTTTATAAGCCTCAGACATGTCGAGGAGTTTTTAGGTTGGTGAATGCTTGTAATAAATTATTCGCGCGGTAGGACACCACATAGTTTAATTGTTTTACTTGATCATTCATGTATAACTCCTGCATGGGTCATAGGTTGAATTATGTAATTGTTTATACTATTTAATTTGATCCGGCCGACGCAAACAAACTCGACGAGATGAGGCGAGCCAACCGCGAACCCGCGATCAATGGCCACGTGGTGTCATGCACACGTAGACACGCTCGCCGGCAGCTTGCTGCCAGGTGCGAGCCATGCTGCAGCGGGCGACGGAGGGAGCAACACGCAGTACAGGCGACACGCGAGGCCAATCGACGATGATACGATGATGCGTATTTTTTCCGACGATGACTTATTCGACGAACATGACGATCTGGTTCGAGTAGCTTGTTCAAGAAGAAAAGTGGGAGTCACGGAGAAAAAGAATTTCCAAGTCCTAAAGGGAAGACGCAGTTCTAAAAGGATAAGGATTGCAATTCTTCAAGATGGACAGGAAGAATAACTAATGGCCATGATAGTTGGATTTTATTTCCTAGTTTATAATTGCTTTTAACTATGCATGTGCTTATTTTATTGCTTTATGTGCAAGAAGATTAAAAGGAGCATGCTTAGGAAATTCCTTAACTTATAAAAATTAGTTGTTAATGGAATAAAATAAATATTTTCCACGTTCTCCATTATAGATTCGTTAGTGAAGTGATTCTAAATTGCCAGTTGGCATTAGAGCTTTCCTCCCAAAGGAAATTTTTGTATCACAGTTCATAAGGACGAATTTCCTACATGATGGTTATAGCAAGCTATTTCAAAAGCGTATGGATCACCCAAAGGTGGACGTATAATTTTGGTAGTAAGCTTAGTACCAAATAATGAGTTACACTAAAAGTGTAAGTAATTGTGATTTCTCAAATAAAAAGTTCATTCTTATTTTGCACGGGCCAAAAGGTGAACCGACTATTGGTCAGGTGTTGATTTGTCGCCATGTTAATTAATGGGATAAAACCCTCCTCTTGCGACGGTATGAGCCGTAGACATCCACACCACGGTGGCCTGCAGTGAATCAGTGTTTGGGGATGTCGATGAATTTAATTGAAGAGTGTTAAAGGGGATCAATATTTAAAGACTTAAATTCGAAGACTTGACTAAGTAAAATTTATTTTTGCATGATACCAGGAATTCAAAATGTCTTTCAATCTGTTCTCCGTAATTCTCAAAGAAAACAAACTTACAAGTCTTGAAATCTATAACTGGAGAAAGAACTTGGATTTTGTCAAGTCGATCACATGGCTGAGAGCACTCCCATAAGGGATCATGTCCTTAAGCTAATGGAGTAGCTCGATCAGCTGAAATTCTATGGAGTTGACATGGATGAACTGTCCAAGGTTGATGTCATACTCTTTTCGATACCTAAAGAACTCAAACATCTCTGTCAGCGTTACGCATTTATATTCGACACTTGCCAGTGATAGAGTTAATTGGGGAACTTGAGGTAGCGGAACGGATTCTCAGAGAAGAACATGAGATGCTTCTCGTTGAGCAGGCAGGTGCTTCATCTTCTAAATCTGTATGGATAAAGAGAAAGAGGAGTCTTGCTCAGCAAGCAGAAGAGGCGTCCATAGCTGCACGATCAGGACACGACTATGTTGACTGCCCGGCGTAAACAAACTCGACCTCCGCTAATTACTGCGTTCTCTTAACCTGTAAGATATAAACGGACACATGTATGTTTGAATAAGCAAAGTGAGGTTTATTGTCATGGACCAATAACTATCTGTTTTGGGTAGTGATTCCTAGATGACATGGTGTTGTGTGATAATATTTACGGTCACTGTGTACTTCACAAAGTTGAGATTTGATGTTGTCCCCGAAGTGAGTTCAGAAGGATTATTATGTTAAATCGTGCAGGTAGATTAAATTCCGGCATGATTATAATGCATTAAAAGGTGCTAGCTTCAGTTCAAGAATTCAATTATCAATAATTAAATAAATTGGCGGATATCTTAAACATGGGGAGGTAATTCGAATAATTTTGAAGTGGAGCTCAAGTCCTAATTTGGGAATTAATTGGGAGAATTAATAATACTACTTTAGTAGAATGACTGTATTATTCATATTTTGGGTAAGTAGGCTTGACCCACTGTTAGGCCCAAATATGGCAAGCCTAATTTAATGTCTCCTTAGGGTTCCTATTGAAGCCTATAAATACACATCTTCTCTAGTCTTCCAAGACATACAACACATAGAGATATTGGAGTTCTAGAGGTGTTGGGTAATTTAATAGGATGTCTTGAGGTAGTCGAGCACCCGACCACCGTCGACCTCCCAGAACCACCGCAACACACAGCTACCGACCCACAAACTCTCAGCTCCCCATCCCTGACGACCCACAGCACCCGGGACGCCGAGACCTGCAACCCGCAGCAGCCCAGCGACGCCTTGCAACTCGCGACAATCCCGCGACCCACTCGACGCCTGCAGACCCGCGCCAGTCGAGACCCGCGACCAGCCCCAGTGACTGATCACGACCCGCAGCTCTCGGAGACTGGACGCACACGACCTTTGACATCCCGACGAGGACTTTGAGGTTCAGACGATCTGTAACAACGGAAATCAGAAAAGTCTCAGAGTTGACAAATTATTAGACCATAAGTCTTCTACCTTGACCTATAGATTCGCTTCCCATAGGTTATTTGTCCATAAATTTTTAACTTGCACATTACGGTGATCCTTATAGATCCCAACACCTGTGATGTTCGAGCTACTAGCACCATGTACAATTCGAGTTGTTGGCATCCTATAATGTCCGAGCTACTAGCATCCTGTACAATCCGAGTTGTTAGTCCTCTATAATGTCCGAGCTATTGGCATCCTGTAATGTCCGAGCTATCGATCACTTGTAATGTCCAAGCTGTCAGTCCCCCTGTGTTGTCGAGCTACTTTAAGACCGACTATTTGAGCGTACTGTAGCCGGTTTACTCGAGCTACAATATGTGCTATATCAGTATTAAATACCAGCTTAAATAAAAACAAAAGAGTCGAGTGCATCAACAACATTAGTTTAATTTATTGCCAATACAGAGGGGGCCCTACTATGTATGGCGCCAAGCGAATTGTCATTAAACCAAGAGCTGCCTTCACAAAACCATTACGACACTGCCATTTTCCCCCTACATTTGTCCTATAATATTCCGTTTCTTGTTTGCGTCTCTCGTTTTACCTAGCTCAGTGTGTGATCTCAACAGATGCAAAAGAAGAAGAAATCGACTGCGAATCGGAAGTTATGCTCGACTCATGGAAAATCTAATCTAAGGAGAAATGGCAGTTTGACCCATGTAGTTCTAAATATTGATTATTTTCCCATGTAAGAGTACTGAAAAATCAACTTTGCTCCAAGAATTGGAAATAACAATTCAACCCTCATAATTTATATATGACACAGATGAGAACACAGGTCTTTAATTTATTTTACTGATTTTTTGTTTTTCAAATCTTATCCGTTCAGTTCAATTATACCCAAACCCCTATGGGGCAGTACCAATACCGATCCGAAAGCCCTTCGATAACTGATCGATTGCTGTTACAAGTCTTTTGGTACAATTCACTTTATTTTCTATCGGTTCAGTTCAATTTGGTTTTTGGTAAAAAAAAAAATAAAATAAAATACCAACCCTACTAGTCAGTAGTAGTAAAACAGAGAATATTTAAATCTTCAACATTAATAAAATAACCAGTCTACTTCATACTATTTTTACTTCAGAATATTGTAGAACAGTTTTGATATTCTAACAATGGAGTAGATATAAAAGAACAGCTACAGACCAAAGAAAAAAAAAGACTTTATGCGGGATTTAATAAGGCATTCAAGCTTTCAAAATAATCAACAATCTACGAATTTAAACGAAATGACCTTTCCCATTTTCATCCTCCGACATCCAGGCAGTTCATGCACAGAGCTACTTCAACACATTAATTCATCAATATGTAGAAAAATTCATTAAACCATAAGAGCTCAAAGCCATTGCTCAATAAAGAGCAACGTCCTAAGAAAAAATAACTTGAAATAAAATACTCGGAAAAAAAAAAATGAAATGGAAAAACCCTTTCTAGTTAATGGAATAGTTATTTTTATGTTCTGCTGAAACAAATGTCGAATCTACAGTTTGTGGCATAATTATTTATTAACATGAATTTACAAGGGATGCTGGTTGAGCCAATCCATCAGGGAATTTATGTACAGATATGTACAGATAATTGAATTAGAGAATCGCCTAACCGGAACATCTTTGTCATTCGCTGATGTCGAAATACTTTGGGTTCGAGGGGTAATCATATTCCACTTGCAACTGCATCATCGAATTTAAAAAAGGACCATCACTTAAACAATTCTCATGGCATAGTGCTAATAATAGACTACATCAAAATGGCTCAATTAAATTCTAGTGCTTCTTTTTTTATTAGTGAAGTTTCTAGAAAAAAAATATATATCAAACGGCGCAATGCACCTTGGGTCGCTACGGAAACAACCTCCTTGTATAATTACAAGGGTAAGGTCTGCGTACAACTGACCCCCAGACCCCAACCTGTTGGGAATATACTGGGTATGTTGTTGTTGTTGATCACTTGAATAACGAGAAAAAAGTGAACGATTGAGTCTACCCAATCACAAGGAAATGCAACTTTTATCTAACCAAACCCCATTACAAATGCCCCCTCGAAGTTCATTTTTGTTTTCCAAACACCCCACTCGATATGTGGGGTATTTCCTCAAATCTATATCTATATATAATTGTTGGCAAGCTTCAATAAATTTTATTCAACCAACAATTAATAAAAATAGGACTTCATTTAATAATAATCTTTATGACCAACATTCAAATGACAATTACACAAGTAAAACCTTATTATTATTATATTTTTTATTCTGTAACAGCTTTACCAGATTTTAAATTTTCTTAATATGCAATATTAAATTATTTTTCAGCTAATATTCCTATTTTGTATTATAGTTATACAATAACAAAAAAAAAAAAACTAATTTATATGGAAGTTAAATAATTTATATTTATATTATATATTTACATATAGTTCAAATTTTAATATATAATACACACTTTATCTAATTTAAATTTTTAAATATCATATGCATACATATACTATATAATTTTTTGTTTTCCTCTGCACAGGATCAAATTCTAGTAGAAAATAAACGTCAGAGGGAATATTTGCAATTTTGAAAAAATGACTAGGTCTTTCTGCAATTTAAAAACTACTACTTCATTAACAGAGTGGAATGCGTTCAATAAAAACAAATGCATACCTTGCCCTCATCCGAATCCGAATGGCGCTGAGGAAAAACGACTCTCATATCATTATACAAGTAAAAACGGCGTTGACCTTCGCAATCGATGCCGTTATTGGAAGGCAGAGAGGCCGAGCCCGATTTGCACTTAAGGCCCGTTCTCGAGCACCTTTTGCTGTGGGGGCAAACAAAACGGAGTTGCAGGGCATAACGCAAAACGCCTGAACTTGAGGTACTTTTGTTAACCTTGGACAGGCAACATACAGATTTACCATCTTTTAAATTGAACGTGATTTCGTTTATACCATTAATATGTTTGCAGTTGTCATCTAATAAGCTTTTTGCATTGGCCCCACATGCATCGGAACATAAAGTCTCGTGTGGTGTTGAAAGTGTGGACTCATTTCTTGCACAAGAATTTTTATGCTCGCCTCTATCAATGGCTAGAGTGGCCCTTTGGCGAAGAAAGGTCTAGCAAGTCCAAAACATGAATATGTGAGTTTTTTTTTTCTTTTTTTTTTTTGAGAAAAAATTACAGTTATACCAAAGCAGTGTAATAGAAGAAAAAGGGCATATACGCAAAAAACCGATATCCAACTCAGTCCAATAAACAAGTCAAAAGATAAAAGGATTGTGTAATATCTATTTGAGGCATTATTGAGACAAAAGGATTAAACAGTGGATTTCATGAAGAGGATGAGTTGTTTAATCGATTTAAATGAGAGTCATACTGACCTTTGTGCCAGCTGGCATATCACTCAAATCATAGTTGCAAAAGAATGTGTGAATCGGTGTTCTTTCGGGATTGCTTAGGACCTGTTATATAGAAACTCTCGCTCATTAGAGAAAAAGTTGCCATTGCCAAACGGAGACAAAACTCGAATTATGTGCAGGAAAGTTATCAAATTAACTCCAACATTAATGATAGCAAAAGCATCGTTAATTTGCTGTTATGAGAGACAAACAGAGTGAGAATACCAATTGCAGCCTCCCTTTCATAGGTATTCTCAGACGGACTTTCTCGTCCGAGGAGCCATTAACACTGAGGCTTCTCGTTAATTTTGGGCCTTCACATTTTCCTGAAGATAAGTTTCTCGAAAGATCTATAGATGAGTAGTAGAGTAAGTAATTATCACCATCGACGCTCGTTACTGTAAATGGAAGCTTCTGTGGGTGAGGTGCGAATTTTCCTCCAGTTATATTCAGCACAGCCAGAAAANACATATAAAATAAATATGTAAAAAGGGCACCTGGTTAACTATCCCAGAAGCTAATCTACCAGATAACAGTGACTCCTCGAACGAACCAACTAACGACCTTCTAACAGACAATCCACTCAAAGATTTGCCTAATTTCACACTTTGGGTAGCAGCAAGTATTGGATTTTGACCTTGAACAGATATCAAATTCTCAAAGCTCATCATACAATTCTCACAATCCTCTAGCCCTTTCCTCCAAAAGATTCCATCTTTAACTTCACAAAATTTCGGCCCAAGAGGTGATAAAGAAAGGGGAGGCGAAAAAACTGTATCCCGTAATAAAAATATATTTCCGGAACTATTATTCGGAGGCGGCTGGATTGTTCCGCTACAGCAAGCTACACCATAATATGGTGAGCTGTCATCAAACAAAGGCCCATCGGTTGTTATACGCAAATTGGCTTCGTAAACATCATCTGGTGGAGTATTACTACCTGAAAAGCTGGATGCATGGCAAAAAGGAAAAAACAGCCTCTTTCTGATCAATGAACTTGAATTCTCATTCGATGTGCCATTTCCAAAAGCCAGGCTTTCGTGTTGTCTGTTTTGGCCCTCGTTCGGCTCGAAACCAACAATTCTTGAAAATGGGGTGTGAATATTTTTTCCGCCATTCTGAGACGAAAAGCAGTTTAGGTCTATAGAATCGATTCTCAATTTATGCATATTTGGAACACCATCTTTATGCAAACCACCGATAAAATCAGATTCTTGTGTGTGTCTTTCTCTCAGCCCTCCAAATAGAGAGGGCACTTGAATCAATGCGGATGTCGAGACTTCTTCGGATAAATTTCCCGGTGAAATTTGAGGCAAACCCATGAATAAAATTTGCAAATAATTTTTTTTTTTTTTTTATTTCATCTCAAGAATTACAACTCAAAGCAGAAAAGTACCCAGGGTTATTCGAAACAATCAACTAAGTGAACATAAGAACCGGCCTTACTTTTTTTCCCTGAAAGTTCATCAAGATCATACGATGACCTAATGGAGTTTTGTATTGACTTATGTTTCAAATTTTCAAGAAACACGAATGCTGCCCTTCATTTTGTAAGGGACAAAGTGCTGTCTGTCCATAATAAGCAGAAAATGTCGCATAATAAGCATTGCCTTCTCGGTAGTACAACGAAAAAATCAGATAGCTATCTGTCCTGGACAAAACATAAACCCAGATTGTTGGTTATAATGCTTGTAGCTAAAACAAAAAATAAACTGTAAACACGCACAAACGCAC